ACTTCGCCGGATTGGAAAAACAACTACTTGGGTAGATTGCTGACATAAAAACGAAGCCAAAAAGCAATTTCCGATCGCCAGAAACAGCTGGACTCGCCGCCACGCGCCAGTGCGTGGTACTGTAGCATAAACTTGTAACGTCGTGTGAGGCTCACGCGCAAGGAAGCCGGTGACCGGATTTTGAGGGAACGCCGGTCGATAGCTGGAGCAGCTCCTGGAGTAGGTGGTGAGACAAAACAGTGATCCTAGAATGGTCACCAACACTGATAGCCACCACGCGCAAGGAATCCGGTGACCGGATTTTGAGGGAATGCCGGAATTTTCTATGCAAACGGGAAAAATCAAGTTTAAAGAGCCACAGGCTCTGATACCATATAAATTTAATGTGGAAAAAATATTTTCTTCTATTTGATTCATCAATAGGGACACATATATATACACACATACAAGATACTATAAACCTATTAGGAATCTAATTCCTAATAGAGTTCTATTTACAACTACTCCTTAACAATATTCATAAACAAATAAGAAGATAATTTATAACTTTGGGATGAAGATGGATTTATATATGAAATATATATCAGGAGAGAATTTTGTTTTACCTACAATTTATTTAACTTGGATTTAGCTTATGCTTCCTCTAATTTTTTGTTTAAAATTTAGTTGGAAAATTCTCTGACAAAGTTTGAGCCAATTTAATGTATAAAATGTCAATCAATCAATGAATATTTTCTTGATTGACATAAAAAATAAAACACTAATTTATAATCAGCAAAGTAACAAAAACAAAGAAAAACAGTACAACATTATCTAAAATAAATGAAATGATAAGCTTTTATGCTTCTTTGTCGATGTAGCTTTAAAATATTTCTAGGTATTATGGTGATAAAATAATTGGTACCATTAAGGAAAAAGCTTGAGTGATCTGGCAATATATATAAATCAACATTTACGGTATAATAATATTAATTAATATTTATAGAATTAACTTATTATTTTCATAACTTATTACTAAAAGTAATCATTATTAAAATATTAATTGAATTTGGTTCATTAAAGAAGTTGTATAATTGATGTAATTGAACTTGTAAAAAAAAAAAAAAAAAAATAAAAAAAATTGTTTTGTAAAAAAAAAAAAAAAAAAAATTGTTTTATGGTGTGAGTGGGTTGAGATTTAAGTATGAAATACAATGTTAACAACAAATAAAATACAATATTTATATTTATCCTTACCTCATGCAAAAAGGCACGTGGATGATACCCACAATAAGAAATCTTAACATCATCAAGCATAAATATTTATGATTTGCCCCTTCCTGTTACTTTGTTCATCTTCTTTTTATTGCCATTCCATTTTAGGGAATCATTTTAGTGATATATATAATAAAGAAGGGCAAAGAGGGTAATATTAATTACGAAAGTCTACTTCATACATAAAGCACATGGGTGGCACCCACACTAAAAGTCTTAACCTCATCAAGTATATGTATTTTACGATTTTTTACCATTTCTTATCACTGTTTTCATCCCTTTCTTTTTTTTTTTTTTTTTTTTTTTTTTTTTTTAATTTATTGTGCGGGATCGTTTTACTAATATATTATGATAAAGAATTTTTTTTTTTTTTTTTTTTTTTTTAAATTTATTGCTGCGGAATCGTTTTACTAATATATATAATAAAGAAGGGCAACATGGATAATATTGGGAAGTCAATATCACTGTTCTTATATTATGAACATGATTTTAGCTTCCGTTTTCATATTATATATAATGGCTATAATTTCACTCTATTATTTTTCTTTCCTATTCATGGGTAATTGTAAGTTGAAATTGATGTTATAAGAAATGACTTAGATGTTTGTTGTAGCGTTCTTAAATAGGTTTGAGTTATTTCAAATTTAAAAACATGGAAATTGTCTGAGAAATTAGGATTCGCAAAGTGGTAATAAATTTTGGAAACAAACTAGACAAGGAAGCTCTTATTGCAACTAACTAGTGTATATTTCATACTAGTTTTACTAGCAATGATAATTTTGGGTTCTTTTGATACTTAGAGTTAGGGTATAAATTTGAGGTCAAATGGAAAATTTATGTAAGTTACATGAAAAATTAATCAATGATCATGTTAGGAGCAATGTGATAACTTTGTGCATTGAGATACCCTCTTCTACTTGCAATATATGATTTAAACAAAAATTGCTTGTCGAATTCTTTTGTTATCATGTTCAATTTTCTTTGATATCATGTCCAATGTCTTTTGATATCATGCATGTGGTTAAGTATTAGGAACAAGATCTTATATGTAGCACAGTTGTTAGAAAAGTTTTGAAGTTATGAAAATCGGTAGTTTTAGGGAACTCGTTTCCAAAATTTCTTTTCCTTCTTTGCATTAGATTGTGTTGACATAAATAGAATTGTGCTTATGTTTCGCTACAAGCAACTAGTGAAAATAGTTGTTGCTTGTCTTGGTCCTTAAACCAACTCATCTATGTCTTAATCCCAATCCAAATATGTTGTGTCTATAGCCTATTTTGTCCATTCTACTTGCGTTAAGCTATAATAACATACTCGACATTCCTAATCCCTTTTCACTTCATTTAGTCATTAGGTGTCTTTTTATCCATGTAACTTGGACTTGCTTAGCCTTTTCTATGAATGAATGTTGGTGTTCCATGCTGGACATATCTAAACCATAGTTGTCTCTCTTTCACCTCATCTTCAATGGGTGCCATGTTCCACCTCCTTATGAATGCACTCATTATATGTTTAGGCTTTATTTGAATGGGAGGGATCATTAAAGTAAGATGTAGTAAAGTATGGTATGAGAAAGTATGGTAAATGTCTTTTTTGTATTTGTGGGAAAGATATGGTAAATGAAGGTTTAATAATATTGTTATGTTTGGTTTGACGGTAGAGGATTGTAGCGTTATAAATATTACAAAAATACCCTTGTCATGGAAGATTTATAAATAAAATTATGGATAATTTTGGAAATTAAATTTTTTAACTATGCGTACACCCCAATTCAGAGTGTTAAAGACTGAGGTGTTTAGACGAGTTTTCAACCCCTCAAATAATTTTAAAAACCCATACTCTCTCTCAAACTCTCTTCCCAAACGACTAAATAACCCCCTCTACCTTACTTTACTCTCCAAACCTATCAAATAACCTCCATCCAAACGATCTGTTATTCTTTTCTTGAATTTCCATATATACCTTAGTCCTTGTATTTACCATGCAGTTTTATGGATTGTTTTTTCACAGCCCAATTTTCATCAATTTGTATCATAGCCCGTCAAATTGTTGTGATTCGTGGAGCTTTCCTTCCAATTTTTTGTGATTTAGAGGATATATGAGGTTGCAATTTCCCATTGCAGCAATCCATATTTAAATTCTATGATTAACATTTTCCAAACTTTTCACCATCTTAGTTAATTAAAGTAGGTATTTTGAAAATTTATGGGCTCATAATTATAAAAGTTAAAAAAAATATAAACATGCAATTAATTATTTAAATATTTTTATGATTATCAACAAATATTTTTTTTCCAAAAAGTCATTATAATTTTGATTACGTAGAGTCGGTTTTTTTTTTTTTTTTTTTTTTCTTTTAGTTAGGTTTTTTTTTTTTTTTTTAAATTTTTTATTTTATTTAAATTGAAAACAATTGGAAACATGATTTTTGTTATATAGGAAATTGTGAAAAACAATTTAAACCTGTTTTCCAAACCTTAGTTAACTCTTGGAAAACGAACAGATTTGAACACGAAACTCAATTTTCTTAGAAAACTTTGATAGAAAACTATTTCAGTTTCTACATTTAAATTGGCCTTATGTTTTACAAAACTTTTACTCTGTTGCACTGAACCCATGTTACTCGCTTTGGTACAATTGTGTTGCACATTTAGTTCACTTGGACTCTTGGAGTCAAGTAGGGGTAAGCACTATTGAGTTTAAACCGGAAAGAAAAAAAGCAAAAACAAGATGATAAACTGAAGTGATGAAATTCAGTTTTTGGGTTCATGTTATTGATAATTCAATTGGTTCAGTTTAGTTTTTTCGGAATTTTAAGTTATTTCCATGAGGTTTGGTTCGGTTTTCTTGATGAAAATATCGAATAACTGAACAATTTTCTACTAGTAATAAATAAGTAATTTTTATATTGTAATAATACATGGTATAATTTGAGAAAAATATTCCTACCTACAAAAAAGAGGTCTTCTAACCCTAATTCCCTAAGTATCCAGTGTCTCTCTGTCTCACCTCGACAACTCCTATCATCCTTTTCTAAGTACAGTTATTGCCTCTCTGTCACGCTCTCTGGCTCTGGATTCTCATTAGTTGCCTACGGGTTGCTTCACTCTCACCCTCAACCTCAACCTCAACCTATGTGCTGCAGTTTTCTCCTCTTGCATGAGGCGTGTTCTATTGTCCAGCTGTGCATGATTCCACCGTCACCAATGTTGCTTAGTCACGATCTTACTCCCAATCACAGCCACCTATCACTTCTCAGCTGCGCATGTTCTATCTGGGTTTTGATGATTTTTAGTCTGAACCGGCTTATTGTCAACCTAGCTTGAAACTCCTATTATTCAATAAGGTGCTCCTCCAAATTCATTTTATTGATTCCATATAGGTTTGGTATATCAGAACTATACCATCAAAAAACACCACACGCCAAGGAATATACTCTTAGCTTATGTTTTTAATGAACTTCTAAAAGGTTGGTATACATCTTTATAACCATGTGTTGTAGTTCATTGTAGAATTTAACCTGTGAATTCTTGCTTCCTATATTTGTACGTTGTAACTTATATTTAGTTGGCAAATTTTTACTTTAGTTTTGATATATATGAACTATGAGTTGATAATCTCTCACCCTGCTTGATTATCATAATTGTTATGCGGTTAACTACATTTCAACATCAATGCTGTATTCTTCCATTACTATTAGCATGTGAAATGTACTTACTATTCTTTGGTTAATGTGGCGCATGCAGAGGGATGTTTACCCCACTCTGTTGTTATTTCCAGCAGAAAGGAAGGCTGCTGTCCCTTATGATGGAGACTTGGCGGTAGTGGATGTTATCAAGTTTATAGCTGATCATGGTAGTAGCTCTCAACATCTCACTAGTGAGAAGGGTAATCCCTTTTGCCGATACATTTTAACATCATATAAAGATTTGAAATCAGTAATTTGCAGTAAATAATACTTATGAACCTTTTCTTATATTGCTCTTCATCACAATTATTAGTCTTTTTTATTGCCAGTGGCTGATTGACATTCTTCAAAGGGAAAATTATAAACGTACCCCTATATTTTGTACAAAAAAACTACTTTACGCTTATTTTTTTTACATATAAATTGTTATACCCTCGTATTTTACATCCGTTATACTAGATTGTTCTTCCATTAGGCTTTTGCTAGTTTAGACGTTAAATGCATGTAAAATGACATTTTTGACCCTTTCTTCTTCTCCTCCTCAAGCAAACCCAGAAATCAGTTACATATATGCAGAAGCAAATAAAACGAAGTTGAATCAAATATTAAGAAATAAAAATTAAATTCCCCAAAAATGAAAAACAAGTTGTGGACTTTACCCATAATCCTAACTTTCACTGATCTCAAAAATAACAAAAACTAGATTCTCTAAAAAGGAAATCAAAGTTGTAAACTCTACCCATAATCCTAAATTCCACATATCTCAAAGATAAAAATAAAAATAAAATAAAAAAAAGACAAACACTAATTGAAAAATCAAACTTGAGATTGAAGAATCAAAACTCATGCAATATATAAACAAATAAGAACTTGCCGAGAAATAGAGAAACAGAGAATCAAAGAAAAGTCTGAAAAGAAAATCTGTAGATTATTGGAATAGGTTCTTATGTTGTTACATATTTAATTCAATTCCTTCAAGTGCATTCTTTGTTGCATTTTATGCTACATTTTAAGTGATTGATTAACACCAAAATATAATTGCAGCCTAAGGTATCTGTAGATTTGCAGGGGTTCATAATTCATGATAAACAATGCTCTTCACAACAAGAGAGAAACTCATTAGGAAGATGCATCGGAGGAGGAATAGAAGACAAGAAGAATGGATTTGAATATGTGATGGGTTATTGGAATGTAGAATTAGAAAGGTAAGGTCCTTTTGTGAGGATTAGCTAGTGATAACTTAGGGATGAGCAAGTAGGTGAGTAATGAAATGAAAGAATTTGTATGAAGTAAATAGGGAATATGTGGTCTGTTGTAATTATGGGATGTCTATACATTTCAATAAAGTTGGAGAAAGAGTATCTTACTAGAGAGGGAGTGTGAATTAGAGTTTCAAGGTTGAACCTGTTGCAAGGGGAAATGATTTGAATATTTAAAGGGGAACTATGTGGCTTGAGTATGGTTGATCTGATGCCACAGGGCAGAACCCAATGGGTTAAGTGAGTTTGTCTTTGATATGGGGAAAATGCCCAGGATCTCATCACGGTCGTGTTAACAATAAAATCTGATTCAAAAGCTAAAGGTTTTGTTTTACCACGATTCTTTCCTTGACCTATTGTTGCTGAAAATTGGGAGCTTGTTAAAAGGGGCTCTAACCTTAGGCTCGTTAAAGAGAGCTCTAACCTTAGGCTCATTAAAGGGAGCTCTAACCTTGCACTCGTTAGAGAGAGTCTAGATCTCAATTTAGTTGGTATAATCTGCTTGTTCCATTTCATGCTTAAAGCCTCCAATTAATAGAGGAATACAAGTACCAATTAAAGTACTTCTACTAGAATGAAATCTCCTAACATAAATAAAATAGGAAACTACTGAATAGAAAGACAACTAAATAGGAGATCTCCTACCAAAAAGAAACATAGCAAACTACTAAATAGAAAGACTACTAAATAGTAGATCTCCTACCAAAAATAAAATAGGAAACTACTAAATAGAACTTCTTAATTTAGAAAACTGCAAATATCATAATTGTATATCTGACAGCTTGGGTTTGCATTGATTTTCAAACCAAGTCGGTTCAGAGTCTGTTAACCAAGGTTAAGAATCGTAGAGTCTTTCCTTTTGATGGTTCAATCCTAAGACTACCAAGTCAAACCTCTCAAGGTGTCCCATAAACTAAGAATTAAATTACAAACCTGCCACTTGCTCATAATCAAATGTTATAAAAGAATTAGTAGAAGTCTAGTAGATAACATATTTACGAAATTTTGATGCATCTACAATACCTTCTCAATCTTGCATGATTAGGAAGCATATCTTTCTTCATTAAAAAGTATTGATAAATTTCGTAGCCTTGGGCCTATGCTTTGACTTCATGTCTAACATTCTCTGGTTAATCCTCAAGGAACTTGTGCAAATTACTTATGTTTTGCTTTTTTTGGAATACTTCTTGCAACACAATTTTCCCAATTTAGTTATTTTGTCTACACATCATTTAGCTCTTATATTTCTCATGAATGGTTAAACTCCTAACTTAACCATTTAACATGGTCTTAGTTTCGGTACTGATCACAAAATTTGTCAGTAAATCTAAATGTGAATTTAAATTACTAGTAACTCTATTTATTTTTGTTTGAATAGCCATAGTGTTATCAAACTTCTGTAGAGATTTAGCCAAATCTCTTACTTTCTAACTGTTACATTACAGAGATGGGTACAAGAGAGAACTTTTCTATTTCTATGTGTGGTATAATGAGATTATATACTTCCTATTTATGCACAAACATCTAACTCTAAATAAGAAAAATACAAATAAGGAGCAACATTCTCTCCTAAATAGGCCATACAATGATACTCTGAATCACACAAGTCAACACACCCTCTTAAGTTGGTGCATAGATATTGCATAAGCCCAAATAGCAAATCAAATTATGAAATTGTTTGCTGTTAAGCCCGTTAGTAAGAAAATCTGCAAGTTGATATTCGAAGTCATATGAGTAAGCTTCAAAACACATTGGGTAACTTTGTCCTTTATGAATGTCGATCAATCTCTATGTGCTTTGTTCGATCGAATTGAACTGGATGTCGGGTAATATTAATGGTGGCCTTGTTATCATGGAACAAAGTCTGATCTTCCCCTTTTGGCTAGGGTGTCAAAATGGGTTGACGTTTCGGATTAGACACGGATTCGCCTAACATGCGACACGATTAGAGTCAATACGAATATGATCCGTTTAATAATTGTGTCAAATTTCTCAACGCGAACGCGAAATGAAAATTAGCAGGTGACACGAACACGACACGTATAGCCCGCCTAATATCATAAATTGGTTAAGTGGGTCGTGTTGACCCGTATACAATTTGTATAACCCACCTAATATCATAAATAGGTTAAGTGGGTCGTGTTGACCCTTGTACGACCCACTTAACCTGCTTATGATATTTTTAAGTTTTAACCTATTTAACTCAAGTCATTTTTCAAATTAAATTTTTATATATAAAATGTATAGATTCTCTAAGATCCATAGCTAAAATAAAACAAAATTAATACAAAAATAAATTTTAAATAGGGTTTTAGTTGGGTATTTATATTTGATACTAAAATTATCTCTTCATCCTAAAATAGATGGGTCACTCGCTTAACTCATTTATCAACCCGTGATACGACACGTTTATATTTGTTTCATAAATGGGTGCTCCGTTTATGACACGAACCCATTTAACCTCAATCCTAACCTATTTATTTCGCGTGTTAGACGAATCGTGTTTGCGTGTCATGACCCATTTTGACACCCCTACTTTTGGCATTTGTAATTCTTCCACTATCTTCCTTAGCCATAACAGTTCTCAAATCCCTTGACCCATAGTTCTATTCCCGCTTCTGCACTCAAATGTGCCACTACATTCTGCTTTTTACTTCTCAAGTAACTAGGTTTCCTCCAACGAAGATACAATAACCAAAAGTTGATCTCCTGTCATCTAGAGCTCCAGCCCAATCAACATCAGTAGAGGTTACTATGCTTAGAGAAAAGTAAACCTCTTCCAAGTGCAGACTTTAGATATCTTAAAATGTAATACAGCTTCAAGATGAGAACTATGAGGTTCATGCATATATTGGCTAATTAGACTTGAGACATATGCTATATTTGGTCCAATGTGTGAGAGATAAATCAATTTGCTAACCAATCTCTGATATCGACCTAGGTCAACCGGTTCTTGCATTCTTACTTGCAATTGGTGATTAACTTCCATGGGAGAGTCAACTGATTTACAATCCAACATGCCAGTTTCTTTCAAGAGATCCAAGATATATTCCCTTTGAGAGATATATCTGTTTATCTTATCTAGCAACTTCTATGCCCAAAAAGTGTCTCAGACATTCTAAGTTCTTAATTTCAAATTCTTGAGCCAACAATTTCTTTAAGCAAGCAATCTCCTCTTCATCATCTCCATATACAACTATATCATCAATATAGACAATTAGTAAACTGATCTTACCACTATAGTATCTAATAAATAAGGTATGATCAACATTACTTTGAAAATAACCAAAGGAAACCATGGCCTTATTGAATCTGTTACACCATGCTCTAGGCGATTGTTTCAACCCATACAATCCTTCAATTTGCAAATATCACCTCTGGTTTTCTTATTTTCAAAGCTTGGAGGCATTTCATGTATACTTTTTCTTCTAGATCTCCATAAAAAAGCATTTTTCATGTCAATTGATGGCTCAACATGACAACAAGATCCTAATGGATTCCATTTTTGCAACTGGACCGAAGCTCTCCTGATAGCCCATTCCATAGGTCTGAGTAAATCCTTTTTCCACTAATTTGACTTTGTACCTTTCAACTGTGTCATCTGCCCTGTGCTTTACTATGAATATCCATTTGCATCCCACTGGTTTCTTTCCTAATGGAGGGGTAACAAGTTTTCCAAGTTCCATTTTTTGCCAAAACTTTCATCTCCTCCGTCATTGTTACTTTCCATTTTGGATCTTGATATACTTCTTGCCAATTCTATGGAATAGAAACAAAAGAAACAGACAACACAAAGGCTCTGTAGGAGGGAGATAAAGAGTCATAAGAAACAAATTTAGGTATATAATGTTTGGTACAAGTTCTAACCCCTTTCCAGAGAGCAACGAGAAGATCAACATCATCAATAGGGTTAGAGTCAGATATATTAATAGAAGGAATTGCATCAAAATTAGAACCAAGAGTAATAGAAGACCCACCACATGGATTTTCAGGAGCTGAATGCAGAGACGACAATGAACTAGGTGTATCACGCGTGGTGGCATTAATCTTCTCTCTTTGACTGTACCTCAAGTTTACCTTTTTTAAGTCCCTGCTTATCATTAGTGTTTAGATTCACAAATTTGTTCAGGAACAGATACAGACCTAGGAACTAAAGAAGCTTCCTCTTCTATCTAGGTGTGTAAAAATAGGTTGACATGACGGGTTTGTAACGCATGACACGCTTAGGGTAGCACGAATATGACCTGTTTAATAATTGTGTTAAATATTTAAATACGAATAAAACATGAAAATTAAACGAGTGACAAGAATACAAAACACATAATCCGTTTAATTAAATGAGTAAAAAAATGCAACCAGTTTAATTAAATGAGTTGTATGCAGGTTAGAAATACCCGTCATATATAACACATCTAACCCATATATAATGTCAACCAGTTTAATTAAATGAGTTGTATGCAGTGTTAGAAATACCCGTCATATAAACACATCCTAACCCAATATATATATAATATTATATATAATATTATATTATGAAATTACATTTTACCCTTTAATTAAACAGGTTAAATGGGTTACAACGTGTGAGACAGTGGCAGTTTAACTTCATTGCATATTTACGGACGGTGACCTGCTTACGACACAACCATTTTAGATTTCAACCTGAAACCCATTTAATTTTGGCGTTAGGCAAATCGTGTTCCCGTACCATGACCATATTTTGACACATATATTATGAAATTACCATTTTACCCTTAATTAAACAGGTTAAATGGGTTACAACTTGAGACATGGCACGTTTAAACTCATGCATATACGACGGGTGACCTGCTTACGACACAAACCATTTAGATTCAACCTGAACCCATTTAATTTTGGCGTTAGGCAAATCGTGTTCCCGTACCATGACATATTTTGACACCCTTCTATCTTAATCTCCCTTGAAGAGGAGCATGGGAGAAATAAGGCTTAGACTCTCTAAAGGTCACATCCTTATTCAGTATTTTCGGGGTGGGGGATGATAACACTTGTAGCCCTTTTGAGTGAAAGAATAAACAACAAACACATTCAGAGCTCTAGGTTCCAATTTGCCTCAACGCGTGTAATGAACAAATAAGTGCACCAAATACCTTCGGAGGAATAATATATGAGGTATTACTTGTAAAGCTACAATTGGACTTTTGAAATTGAGTGTCTTAAGATGCATCCTATTAATAAGATATGCTGCAAAAAGCACTGCATTCCCAAATAAGTCTTAGGAACATTCATGGTGAACAAACGAGATCTAGCTACCTCTAGTAAATGCCAATTTTTTTTCTTCTAGACACCCTATTTTGAGCACTAGTATTCACACAACTAATTTGATGTATGATTCCATTAGATCTAAATAAGCCTGAAAGATGCTATCTGTGTACTCAGTTTCATTATCAGTTCTCAAAATTTTAACCTTCGCATCAAATTGTGTGCTAATCTTGTTATGAAAAGATTTAAAGCAAGAAGACACTTCATTTTTTGCTTTGAGCAAGTAAACCCCAGTTAATCTAGTACAATAATCAATGAAGGTAACAAACCATTTATAACCAAATAATGTAACAGTAAAAGTAGGACCCCATACATCAAAATGAATAGTCATGAAAGGAATTGAACAATTGTTATTATGGGAAATATGAGAACTTCTCATATATTTAGCAAGTTCACAAGCATCACAAGCTAAAGACTCTAATCGACAATGCTCAAAAAGCCCAGGATATAATTTCCTTAGGACCAGAAAGAAGGATCCTTAATCGCTTATGCCAATACTTATTTCTTGACAAACATTACTATGATTTCCTAATAGGGCTCGAGTAATACTAGGAACCAAAGAACTGCAACCTCTTTCAAGAAGATATAGGCTATCATGCAATCTACCAAAATCAATTGTCATCCCTGTTTTCAGATCCTGCAAAACACAGTGAATAGGAAAAAATTCAACTTTACAATTAAGAGCTTTTGTAACAGCACTAATAGATAAAAAGGTTTACATGAAAACTGGTAATATGAAGAACAAAAGTTAAAATCAATGGTAGATGTGTACTTAATAGAACTTGTGCGAGCAATAGGTGCAAAAGAACCATCTGCAACACAAGCAGTGAAAAAAAGATGAATAGGTAAAGATTTATTAGAAGAGTCTGACATATGTTTGTTTGTTCTTGAATCTATAACCTATAAATCATCATTAATAGAATTAGCAAGAAGGTCATACCTGATTGCACAAAATTGGAAGAAACAGTTGAGGTGGATAAAGAGTCAAGTTTTGATAAAAGACGCTTTAAGGGCTGTACCTCATCAGGAGAGAAATGTCCAATAGACAATGCTTCAGGTATTGCTACTACTTCAGCTTGGTATGCAACTGGTCTAGATGAACCCATCCTTTTATCACCACGATCCCTAATCGGTCGTCCATGCAATTTCCAACACGATTCCCTAGTATGTCTCGACTTTCCACAGTAATCACATACTAATTGGTCTTTATTTAATGAAGTTCGGGCACTTTTATAGGTTGAGAAAAGAGAAGCCCGTATTTTCCGACAGAAGCAGTAGTTAGCATGACACCTCTTCGACTTTCTTCCTGTTGAACATAGGAGCATGTCTGCTGCAATGAAGGCATAGGGTCTTTCCCCAAGATTTGAATTCGTATTGGATCATTTCTAGTATTCTAACCTGCAAGAAAATCATATATGCGCCCCTTCTCGACTTTTCTCCGATATCCTACCACATCAGCCTCACATTTGGGATGATAATCCTCATAGTAATCAAGTTTCTGCCACAAACTATTCAATTCGGCATAATACTAATTAATGGTCATCTTACCTTGCTTTGTTCCTTGAACTTTATTCCAAAGCTCATACACCGCATCATTCCCATGTTGACAATGAGTTTGGGAAATAGTCATCCAGATATTTGCTATAGTATCCAACATCAAATACCCGCTATAGATCTGAGGTTGCATGGGATTATGACATCATTGAGGGATTTTTAGAGTTCCATTTATCATAGGTTGGACTGTTGTTTCAGGTTGGGTTTAGTCCAGTGAGATATCCTTGTAGTCCCCGAGCTTTGAAAAATAACAGACATGACCTTGACCAAGATAATTAGTGCCACCAAGTCTAAGTGGACTAATTTGTAAAGAGATTGCCTTAGAAACACCCAATAGCTTCAACGGTTTTGGACCCGTCACCCATGATTTAATGATTGTCGAAAATTGACAAATACTGGGATGAACAAACGGAAAAGAACATAGACAGATGAAAAAACCCAAACACAGTAGCAAACAATACAGAAATATAGACGGCACGGAGAAACAGGTCACTAATCAAGCTGGGATGGGGTGGCCTAAACTAGGCGAATATGCCGGAGTAGGTCCTGCAGAGAGAGGCTGCCGGAAAGTGGTCTAACGCTAGCGCATGGTGGAGATGCTGAAACTTCGATCAACGCGTGAGCTCATGTGCTTTGTCGGATGATGACCGAACTTCACCAAATGAGTCACCGACGATTGCGCTTCCTTTCAAAAGTGGCGGTGTACTGAAGCTCCATCCAAAAATCCCTAATAGTAAAAAGCAAGGCGGAGCTAGGACAATTATTTTAGGGGAGCCAAATGAAATTTTTTTAAACTCTTAGGGGGGGGCCAAATGTAATTTTTCTATTATTTGAAGGATTAAAATGTCATTTTCATAAAAAATTTTTTAAAAAAATTTTTTGTGGGGGGACCATGGCCCCTTAGGTCCCAATCTTGGCAAAAAGGTGATACGCTTCCTTAAGAACTTCACTAAACAATTTTTGGAACCTGCTTTGATACTGTGTTAGATTACAGAGACAGATATGGAGAAAGGTTTTTTCTATTTCTATATGTTGAATAATGAGATTATATACGTCCTAATTATATACATACATGTAACTCAAAATAGGAAAAATATAAGTAAAGAAGCAATATTGATCCTAAGTAGGTTATACAATGATACTCTAAATCAGACAACTAAGAATGATAAGCCATCAACGCAAAAGGGTGGCAATTGTCCCCCCTCCTTTGACGAAGAAAGAGATTTCTTTTACATGCCTAGGGATCAAAGTCAAGACTCGGGAGGTAATGTAAGTGTGCTTGAACCATTTGTTCCCCCTAAATACTTTGCAACTCCCTTCCCCTCTCTCTCTCTCCAAAAAAAAAAAATAAATAAATAAAGGTCGTTTTAAATCCTAGATGCGCCCTTGGCTTAACCTAATGCTAATTGGATAATGCCAAAACCATATTAGAAAAGTTTATACTTGGTTATCATAAACAAAATTCTACTAAAAATTTAGACATGGTAACATTATTAAAATAATTTTTCTTTTTTTGGCATAAAAAATAAAGTTTGATGCTGAGATTAGTGTTAATATCAAGGATAGATGCAATTGAGCCTTTAGGTTGCTCGCTGAATTCGTTACAGTGTGTAGCTTGGCTGTATGTACATTTGGCGATTCAATAATAAGGACCTACTTTGTAGAATTAGTTTGTAAGTTGTCATGTTCAGGAAAATTCATTTGAAACACTGCACTATCATTTTATTTGCTATTGTGTTTTTTTCTCTTCGAATTTATACATTATTAAGCTTGTTATATTTGTGCCTGTAAAAAACCATTTTTCTAATCATGTAGGGATACTTTGGTCCATAGCTGGAAAAGGTAGCAGAAATCATTTTAAGGATGCATTACCCACTGCAATTCATGAGGAAGCTCCTGTTGAAAAGGACAAATCCCAAGAAGTCCTATTAAAGAACCGGACACTGAAGAAACCTGCAGAATATAGTCAGATCAGATCTCGCACATCCAAAAATATGCATGAAACAATTCCTCATATAGTGGTTGGATCAATCCTTGTGGCTACTGAAAAAATTAGCACACAACCATTTGACAAATCACAGGTTCTCATTGTGAAGGCAGATCAACGTACAGGATTCCAAGGTCTGATATATAATAAGCTAATCAAGTGGGATTCTCTTGATGAACTGGAGCAAGGGTTAGAACTGCTGAAAGAGGCTCCTCTTTCTTTTGGTGGTCCACTTATAAAACGTGGAATGCCTTTTGTTGCTCTAACAAGAAGGATAGTCAATGATCAATACCCAGAAATTGTACCAGGCATATACTTCCTCGATCAATTAGCCACACTTCATGAAATTGAAGAGCTTAAGTCAGGAAATCAATCCGTATCCGATTACTGGTTTTTCATGGGATTTTCGAAGTGGGTCTGGAACCAGTTGTTTGATGAGATTGCTGAAGGAGCTTGGTTTGTAAGTGTGAACAAAACAGAACATTTAGATTGGCCCTGATGGTTTGCTTGAGGTGTGTTTTATTGTACTGTAGTATAATAGAGCTTTGAAGTTTCTCAAACAGGAACTATTAAGGAGCAGCCAACCATAGAAAGCAGTTTATAGCGAAGAGATTAACCAAAAGCAGCACAGGTTTTGTTTCTTGTAGAAATGAATTTGCTGGCACTAATTTTAGATGTGAATTATGTGATTCTCTTTATTTTACTAACTTGCTTGATTTTCTTCTTGTCATACCCTAGGCGGTGCATTGAACTTCCCCTTCTTTATATTCTACCAAGACAATAGACTTGCCAAAAAAGAGCATTTTGTAACTAGTGACTGAATTTTGCCCGTATTGGAAGAAAAGAGTCAATTGTATTATTTTAATTTTATATAATTATTGTCAAACTAGAGCATTGCATATTGTGGGAGACTGAATAAGAGTGCACGGATAGGAATTGGTAACAGTATCATGTCTTTCTTTCTTTTTTTTTTTTTTTAAATTTTTATTTAATATCTGGCATTTAGTATTGTGAACTTCTTTAATGACTAGTTAATAAATATAGGAAAATGAATATTTTATAGGACAAAATATAACCAAGTGACTCTCCTAGTTCCTACTCAAATAAGATTTTTAACTATCATTGCTAGTTTCTTGAGTTGGACTGGTACTAGGATTTGAACTAGCATAAAATGCAATGAATACACCAATGAAAATTTTCAGGCTTTCCAATTCAATCCATCTATGACTGTCCACCAAGTTGGCCGATATATAATACTCATCGTGGCCTAAAATGATGCATAATAATAGTTTTGGAAGTTCAATTGGTTAGTCAGATAAGATGAGGTCCACAAGAGGATGAGTCTAAACCATCTAAGCAGCATAATTCATACATACTACCACTTCCACTATAATTGTAGAATGCAAGAGCTTTAAATTAAATTACAAAATAATAGTTAAATATTAAAACATATTTAGACAGGAAGTGTCGTTGCTGAGGAAAGGGACTCGACGTTCTAATTATAAATTTGGAGACCAATTAATAGCAGTTGTCTGATTGAAAAGGACTCGAGTTCCTTAAATAAGAGATCGAGTGTTCTATCATTGTGGATAGACAAAATTTCCACTGAGAGCGCTTCTCCGTTATAAGCTTGACGTGATGCGATCAGAAGTAGACTTAGTCTAATGGGTCGAAAACACCTATGATATAAACTAAAAAGAAAAATTTGAAGGAGACTACATATATCTAGGCATGGCCGGTTCAGTGAACCGCCGGTTCCGGTTCACTGAACCGCCGGTATAAAACTAAAAAGAAAAATTTGAAGGAGACTACCATATCATCTAGGCATGGGCCGGTTCAGTGAACCGCCGGTTTCCGGTCACTGAACCGCCGTTCGAGATGTTAAAATTTTGAAACCGGAACCGACCCTTGAACCTTCCGGTTTCCCGGTCCGGTTCCGGTTCCCGGCACGGTTCAGCACGGTTCGGCGAAACCGACCGGTTCAAATTACGGTTCCGATTCGTTCCGGGGCATTTACGCAAATTTTTAAAAAAATAATAAATTTTTGATTCCGATTCATGAATAAATAATAATTTTTAAAATTATTTAAATTTTATTAAACTAAGATGAATTATTATTAAATTTTAAAAGAAAAACATTCTATTAACGAACTCTAGAAACTTATTATTACAATTAAATTTTCAAAATTTTGCTTATTTACTAAATAAAAAACTATAAAATGAAATATTAAAAATTAATGGAAATGAGTTTGGAAAATTATTATTTTCAATACTAAGAAAATTATTAAAAAATCAAATGAATAAATTTATGAATGGAAAATTTGAGATTAGAGAAAGAATTTGGAATTGGATGTAAGAAAATAAAAAAAATAAACAATAGATAATTCCAACATTAAGGAAAAATAAAGCAATACGAAAAAAATAATTGAACTATGGAAATTTGATGAAGAATTTGATTGAAATAGAGAAGAAGTTTAGAGATATAATTGATTGTGAAATAAAAAAAAAAGCATCAACTCATCATATTTATACATGTGTCTTCATTTATTAGTTTTCCAAGATTGTCCCTTATTATAATTTAGTAAATAGCTGAATTAGTAATTAAATAAATAAATGATTAAAATGAATAAAATTATTACCATGAAATATAATATAAATATAACGATCTTTTCATATCAATAAACTATCCGATTACACTCGTTTTTTTCTATACACTTGAAAGTATTTTTTGTATATAAGGAGTCAACTATTCATGTGACCATTGTTGTTATATGAAATGTAAGTCAAAAATTGTATTTTTGCACCAAATTTTTTATAAAACTCATATACCATTTTACTTCTCTTCACCATAAATAAAATCAACTACATCAAATCAATTGATGATAAATTTTTTATAAAAATTTTAAGTTACAATTTTTTGTGGTATTCGTTCGAACCGGACGGTGGAAACCGCCGGTTGCACCGCCGTTCGGGCCGGTCGCGTTCATATTTTAACATCCACATTTAAAACCTTAACCGGCCCTTAAAACCGCCGGTTTCCGGTTCAAAATTATGAACCGCCGGTTTCGGTCCGTTATGAACCGCCGGTTTCGGTCCGGTTTCGATTCGTCTACAGTACGGTTCGGTTCGGGTTAGAACCGAACCGGTGGCCATGCCTACATATATCTGATTAGTAGGGTTACAATTTACTTAATTTGGGAGCTAATTCTCCGTGCTAGACTCCCTTACCCAACACCTAATCCAATTTGGGGTCTTCAAGCTTCATATAGCTGTTATTACCATTTTGGAGTGTCAAATCCGCATAAGGTTATTAGAATCCAATTACAAACCACAGAATGTACTTTCCCACTTATGTCACCCTACATTATCTCATGTTCATCGCATCTGCAGCAAGTATTCACAACAGTGCAATTTCCAGAAAGTCAAAGCAATTTACCATTCATGTAATTATAAATATCATATAGACAATAAGGTTAAGGGTGGCCAAAATCTGATTTTTGGAACCGTCGGTTCCGAACCGGTGGGAATTGAAATCGAAACCGGTGGAAATTGGTTTGAACTGGTTCAATTTCGGTTCCACCAATTTTGGAATCGTGAACCGGCGGTTCTCAAAACCAGTCGGAATCAACGGCAGTTCCGGTTGAACCGTCCAAAACTGGTCGAAACCGTTTCAAACCGGTCAGAACTGATCGAAAAATCGGCCAGAGAATTGACTAGAACCGTCGGTTTTGAAATCGTTAAGAAATCGGAATCGGAAACGGAACCGTTCGGTTTCAAACCGTAAGTAGAACCGTTAATTTTCAGTTCGATTCCGGTTCTAAAAAATTTAGAATCGAAACCGGCGGTTTCGGAATCGTGGCCACGTCTAAATAAGGTGATTGTAACGAAAGCAATATATGTATTAAAATAATAATGTGAATAATGCATAAAATGGATGAAAACTTATAAAAAATAATATTATTTACACTCTTAAGTCACTCATGGTTAGGAAGATGAGTTGAGACATTTTAGTGAAATGGAATAAGAAAGAATATACAAAGTATCAGTACAAGAATTTAATGAGTCCATCTGATGATTTTCGGCTCAACACATAAATTCACTCCTAAATTTTGTAACTTTAACTTTGTGGCAGTCTGAACTTTATAGATAATCTATCGTGCATTTGAATATGTAAATTTTATTACTATTACACACATTTCGACATTAATATTAATAATTTTAGAGTTTTTCATTTTTATCTGTAAATATCAATTTGATAACCGGTTAGCATGAACTTTGAAACAATAATTTTTATAAATTTTAACGAGTATTTAATTGATCTGATTTTACAAGTTGAAGTATTTAATAAAATAATTTTGAAAATTAAAATGTTTAATAGATGTAGTTTTATAAGTTTAAGTGTTTGATAGGTCAAAGTAAAAGCTGAGGTGCTACAAGATTATAGTAATAAAGTTTATAGGTAAATTTACATATTCGGGCGATGATACTTTTATGAGTTTTTATCTATTGTAATTGTGATACAACCTCTCTTAAAATTAAAACTTTGTTATCCTATAAAGACAAGGCAACTCAATATATAGATAACTAGTTATGTGCCTACGTGTGTGTTGCGTGGATTGTGTGATTTTATTATATTATTTTTGGACATTCAAAAAACATTAAATTTAATTTTTTATTTTTATCGTTACATTCCAAAGTTTTGAAACATAAATTTTAATTACTTATATATACTAATTGAATTTAATAATTAATAATCCTATAATTAGATTATTTTATTAATGAAAAAACTTATTTTTTTAATAATTAATAATCCAAAAAATAAATTTATTATGTTAATTATTGATTTTTTTAAATAATTAGGAATAAAGGTCAATATGATCTCTGAACTTATTTAGCAAGATTAAAAAGGTCAGATTTAACCTTTTGGGCCAATTTAGCCCTTGCATTTGTATAAAATGAGTAAAAAAAATCGATTTTACTTTTTAGGTCAATTTAACCCCTGAACTTATTTAAAATGATTAAAAAATAATTATATTTAACATTATGAGTCAATTTAACCTCTAATTATTCGTTGTACTTATAATGTGAAAATCATTATAATTCAAAAAAAAATGATATTTGACATTTTGAGTCAATTTACCTCTAATTTTTTATTGTACTTATAATATAAAAATCATTATATAGACATTTATTAAAATTGTAGTTGAAATCGAGTTGACTAATTTATTAAAAAATTAATTAGTTATAAAATATAAAAAAATGATGAAGTATATCGTATCTCTCTTTACCTTGATTGATGATTTTTAGTTTATAAATATGTATTAATTTGAACATTTTAAAATTAACCTCTATTAGTGAGTCATCGCTTATGAAATCTATGTATTTTCATGTTGAATAAATTAAAATTATAACGTATGTTTATAAATTTATTATATTACAAAAAATGATGTTTTTATAAATTTTAAATTTATATTCATAAATGTTGAAAAAGTTTGATCTAAGTATTATTAGTATAGGACAAAAAGGGATAAAAAATCAATCATATTAAATTAAATTAATTATTAATTTATAAAAATCAAAACAAGTTCAAGGGTTAAATTGGCCTAAAAAGTTAAATCGGATCTTTTTAATAAAAGGGATAAAAATCAATCATATTAAATTAAATTTAATATTAATTTAATAAAAAATTATTAATTTATAAAAATCAAAACAAGTTCAAGGGTTAAATTGGCCTAAAAAGTTAAATCGGATCTTTTTAATCATTTTATACAAATTTAAGGGCTAAAATTGATCTAAAAGGTCAAATCTGATATTTTTTTTATCATGCTGAATAAATTCAGGAACTAAATTTATCTTTATTCCTAATAATTAATAATCCAAATAATAGATTTATTACGTTAAT